TGCACTAAGGTGCAAATGCACCCAGTATTTCGAGCCCTGCAGTTTAGACAAGATCTTGAGGATACATGTATCTTCTTTGACTCCTTGAAGGAATCTGGGTTTAATCTTCCTAGCTTCTGACCTTCATGTACTAGCAACTCTCTAAGACTTGCCAGGCATAAAAACCTGCCCTTGTAATTGTTTGTTATTAAATTTTATTCCTTAATATCCTGACAATAAAGATAAGTTTATTGTGAATTCCTGCCCGAAGGCAGTATTTACAAATAACAAAAAAAGAACATTGAAACAGGGTACGTAATAATACAAGGTAATTGTCTAAAACTATAGCTATCATAATGTGTCTGATATGGTTTGACTTCTCTTTTTTAAAAAGGATTGTCTGCATTGGCAGTACTGGGCAACCTGACTTGTTTTTTGACCCAAATGCCTTATGTATATTACCATCAATAGACAATACCTTGGATTACCAAGTACTTCACACCTCCTAATGCCCTAATGGCTTTGTCCTAGCTCAAAGTAAGGACTAATAAAATGGTAAAATGATTTATTTTAGAAGTTTAGATATAGCTTTTACAGGGAGTCACAAAGCCAAGTTTATTGATACAATGTATGGCAAATAACTTAATAACTATAAACTATTTCTACTAGTGTACTAATCAACTTCAATACATGTAACGTTATATGTGTTATAATGGAATACTACATTTCACATTGCTGTGACAAGGTTTCTCTTTTGTATACTATAGCATTATGCACATATATTGACCTAGATAAACAGATACAGGGCATGATAACAGCATGTTGAAAATTTTTCTACTTTTCTCCCACGTAGCGTTATTTTATTCTTACATGATATCATTAGTTTTTTCCTTTCTTTGTTATACATAGTAGGGACATATCACAGGTAGCACTGGGTAACCAAACTTCTCTCCAGGGATGTCCAACTTGCCACCATGGCTGGGGTGGTTGTCCCTAGACTCCATAGCATGCCAAAAACTGGGGGGTTTGGGGCGTCTTCAGGGTCTTTGGGAGCTTTTGTGTGCTATTTTCTGATTGCATATAGACAACATAGCCAGCCTGGTTGAATTACCCCCGTTTTTTTAGAACTGGGCTAATCAGAAAACAGCCGAAGACCACCAAACCCCCAGTTCTATAAGCCTGCTACGGAGGCTAGCTAGGTTGTCCCCATACCTGGGATGCCTGGTGCCTGGTAGAACAGACCCTTTGTTTACCGGGTATTGTTTGTCGATTAATAAATCAGCGAGGGTCAACCTGAGCAAGCCGACCCCGTGATGTCACCCGTTTGACCCCGCCCGCCATTATAAACATCCTCTGTAATTACGTACGCCCCTGCGTCACCTACGGTCATTTGTTATCCCTTATATTTCCCAGAAGTTTTGGGCATACTAGTACTCACTCACGTACTCATTCACAATCCAGGATTTGATATACTGGTATAGTTATATGCCGAAAAGGTCACAACCAAAAAGGTATATTTTTCACACAAAGTTACTCAAACACCTGCTAAAAATGCCTACAAGCAACAAGGAACCTCCTTGCTACCTGTAAAAGCTAGAAACTCCACCAAAAGCACATTTTTGTCCTATAGTCTTTTTAAATATGCTTCTTGTTATATAGCAGATGTAATTTTTCTGGTGTTTTGAAATTCAGCGAACAGGATATTCTCAGATTATTATCAGATTATAAGCTGCACTGAAGATATGACCTGCAACAAGTGCAAGCCTTGAAGGGCTAAAATTTTCCAGTCAAAATACTTTTCCTGCATACCTGCATCAGTGACATATTGAAAATTACCTGCACCACAAAATTGGAGAACTTAGGAAGTATGGGTCATACTAAATTTGTTAAAAAACAATTGCTATCATTTTGATATTGTACATAAGCACACAATATATACCTGCACAGCCCCAATTTTACCTGTGCCTAACCTACATATGCAGGTGGTACGGTATTTCCAGCCCTAGCTTCATTTACAAACTACTAGTAGTAAGTAAGATATCATGCTGCAACGACATTACCCTACAGTATGGGACAATATTGTCTAATATCCTCAGGGGTTGGGATAACAGGCTTATGTCCCAGTGAACAGCTGCCCAATTTTCTCCATTTGTGAGGGATTTGGTCACAGTAACATTACCCTAGGTAGTCCCCGGAGCCTGGGGGAATTCCTGGCAAGGTTTGTCTGGCTCAAACACCTGTGGTGCAGGCAACGTGTTTGAAGTAGAGGTTGTATATGTGTAGCATTTTGGGGGGCAACCAGATTTTTGTTTTGAGGCTACAAAGTTGGATTAATTTGTAACGCAAAACTACCAAAGTTTGTCAATAATTTTTAAAATGTTTGGACACCATGTCTTACAATCATTCTCAATTTCTGTAAAAAAAGTGACATCACAATGCACTTTTCAAAAGTAGGCACTTCTTTTTTTCCTATACCAGTATACATGATGCGTACACAAATCTGGATGTGATTTTTTTGTGAGATGAGATGATCATGATATCATACAACTACTTAGTTTGAGAAGTTGACCTGACTGAAAGTTCTAGAGTTAGACAACTTTTTTTCCTGAATAGTTTCATCAGGTTGGTAAGACACTGAGTAAAGAGACTCACTTACACAACCAAGACGGTCACTGAAATGTCGGCTGAATAAAAGACTTGGTTGTGTAAAAAGAGTCTCTTTACTTAGACGACTTTTTCTTTGCACAAGTTTACAAAATTCGCAAGCATGGCTAGAAAAGTACATAATCACTGACCAAGGTGATGCCTTCATGACCAGCCATTCCCAGACTCTACATAAGATGCGTGGCTCATCCCTACCCAATCCTGTATCACTGACTTGTCTCACGCCCCTCCCCTATAAGTACCCGTTACCTGATCTCCTTTGTTACCGACATTGTTTGGCCAGGAATTCTGCTTAATGCAAAACTGGTGCCTGTCGTGACACAACAAGGCCAGACACTCCACCTATTCAGTCAGCATGCCTGCGTCTTTTAGGGATAAACCGCTAAATTATCGCTATATTTTTCCTTCCGAAGGAAAAATCTGGTCCCAATTTGCAGAGGAAATATCGCGCGGACGGCGTGCATGTTTGCAAAGTTGATTCTGGGAGAGTCTGGGAGAGGTTGTGTTGATTCTGGCGTGGGTCACGGCTTGCAGAACATTTTGCCAGACTGCCTGTGATTGTCATGGTGCTTTGAACCGACTTCATTTGGGGTCAGACTGGCTTTTTGAATACCAGGCAAAGCAGGGGATCATCCTATTTATTAAAGCTGGCAGAAAACATTTATAAATGCGGCCCAGCCCACATAGCAGTCTGCTGCTGAAGTGTTGTAGGGCTTTTCTGTTCAGTTTTAACCTTCACCTTGCTAAGGTAGCCCTTTGGTACCACATCTCTATCAATTATTGGGGTAGGCAGCAGGGAAAAAGTTAAAACATGAGAGTTCTATCTATGACAACTAACGTCACAACCCAGATTTAGTGTGTCACATTTAACTTTCTCTCTGGCAAGATTTTTGCATTGTACTTCAACTGTGCAAAATGGGATGGATTGCTAGAGTTCCTTTACATCAAATTTCAGCTAAAAATTGAGGTATAAACATTTTAAATCCAGGACTTTAAGGTCCTTACAGCTAAGAAAATGGAGGTTTGAATTATCAGACACTGGGTACTTTTGCATTTCATTAAATCTACAGTATTAACTACTAGTATAATATATAAACAGCTCAATGGTTTGATAAATGGTGGTATGAACAGGTATGCAGGAAATGCACCTTTGTTTACTCAGTACAGTGTACACAATGTTATCATACAACAGGCCCTTTCTTTTTTCAATAGTTCACAAATTATTTATAAGTGTGCGGCCTTCAGATCTACATGTAGCCATGTGTCTGTGGGGAACAGAACTTCTGAAGGCTTTACTAAAGTGTACACAATAACGGGCCATTTCAAATTGGTTACTAGTATTATAAAGGGGCCTGTATGCCCTTTTTTTCGTAAGGCGACTATTATCAGGCCTTTTTAGTCTTCGTACTCCGTAGGTAACCTCCACCCAAAAAATCAATGTAATTCGTAATAGAACATTAACTGCAAAGCATAAAGTCATAATCAGCTCTCTGAGACTTTAACGTAATTTGTAATAGGCAGTGAAAATTTTGCGTAATTTGTAATCACGACCCCCCCCCATGCAGACCCTCTTGTAACGATGGGGGGGGGGGAGATGCACAATTAAGGGAAGGGCTGTTGGAGAGTCAATACTTTAAAAATTAAAAGCTATTTTCAAATTCACAATTCAGAGTCTGTCAGCTGTACTTTACCTTAAAGCAACTGATAGAAACTGAAACATTTCTATAAATAGTATGGAAAGAAGCTGATATAGATAGTATCTAAGATGTAATTTATGTCAAACTTTATGTGCGCTCCAACTCTTAATAGCCTGGGTGCCAGCCGCCTGGCCACCCAGTGACATTAGGAGCCGGCAGCCGAAACTACAGAGGATGGCACCAGGCAGGGTTCCAGGCTAAAGAATATGCCAGATGTTTGTTTGTAAACCACCTTTAAAGGTGTAACACACCAGTTTCGTACATGTAAGTACAAGCTGCGTAAGACCGGACTGTAAGGTTTGAACCACTCACACCAGGAAGGTCCCCTACTCTTTTCGATAAGTGCGATGGGTTCTTTAACATGTGTGGGGTGTGGCTCTCCCCAAATACGGGACTCCATTTAACGTCCTATCCAAGGGACGTCCCTAACCGAAGCTATATGTAGGTACTCATTTACACCTGAGTAAAGTGAGGAAAGTCGTGTTAAGTGCCTTTCCCAAGGGCACAAGATCGGTTGCTTCGGGCAGGATTCGAACCTGGGACCTCTTGGGTCTGAGACGAACACTCTACCGTTACGCCACACGACCCCACTTGATGATGATGTACTGAGATAAGATACATGATAATGATGACTGTACAAAGTAGATCTTAAACACTGACCTTGATGCCGTCGCGTTCTCTGGTCAGGACCATGTCAGTGCCATCCAGCAGGCAAATCTGCACCTGGATGTCCTTGTCTCCTCCGAGGCATCCGCAAAGATCCATCTCCAATCCTAGTACTAGTACACCTGGGGCCAGGCGTTACGTCCTCTCTGTGTACACCAAACTCGAATCCTCCACAGCAAAGTGTCCTCCCTTCATCTAAACCACCAACTCTCAACCACCACTGGAGTTGTCTTCACTAAAAATTATGGTTGGAGTACCACGTTGTTCTTCTGCATTCAGTAGTCTAAACCAGCCACAAGTGTCTGTTGAACACCACGTAAGGCACGTAGAAAGTCCAGCTTTCAATGATGCATAGCTTGAGTAGAAATACTATCTTCCTGTGACTATCTTCGTTCGAAAAGTAGTGTTGTTGACTAAAGCTTATAATTTTTCAGAACATCCAAGCCTTGAAAAAAAATCATACAGTTACTATGCTAAGAAAATGTCACAGGAACGTATTGGCCCGGGTTTGGGTGTAGCATACAGAAAGTGTACGTTGTTTCTTTCGCTTGCTCCCTCACTCAACTCGCCGGCAGCCTGCCAGGTTTGGAAACGGTCCCAAAAGCAGCTCGCATCGTGAATGTGATGTTGTCACTAGCAGCAACGATACGATCGCGGCGACAATTTGCAGCTTGTCGAGGAAGCTTGGAAGCCAGCAGGGGGACCACACCAACCAACCGGCCGGGGCCTACCAGCATTCCGCCCCGCCAAATAGACACATGCCGGGGTCCACACACAGAGTAGATGTCAGCAGGGAGCGAAACACAAACACGAATGACACCCAATATTGCGAGGTAAACCGGCTGGGAGGAGGTCAGGCCTAGCGTAACCTGGCGGTACGTTTGGGAAATCGACAACTTTCAATCAGCTTATTAGCTTTGGGCGAGTCCACTTGTTTTTAAACAACAATGCTCATATCCCTTTCCAAGCCAATCCTAGAAAATCTATAAATTTGTAAAGAATAAAATATTGAATGATTTTTTTAAAGATATATGGCCGAGAAATTAAAATTAATCATTTTTAGGAATGTTATTTGGGATTTATATTTAACACCCCTAATTTTTAGTGGTCTAGTCAGGTAAGGGTAAGAAAGTGTCACCGCGCATGCCTTTTGGGTCCAATATCCGGGGTCTTTCTCTTCGACTCGAATCTGCTCAAAATGGTGGGTTTTGATCCTCAGAGTTGGGATATCTTAGGAATCGTCTTGCATCCGCCACTTTTGCGAACTTTTTGTCGCCATCTCAAGCTCTCTGATGACAGATAACAACATGAGCTATCTCACCACCGTGTTATTTTGTCACCATTCATCTATTTCTGCCGAAAAATGAGTCATATTTGTGGTGAAGGACCCACAAAATTTGTGCCTACGTCTTTTTCGCACGTTTTTTCTACCTTCTCGTTTATTTCATGCCTTTTGCTTTCGCAATTCGGATATATTTTGTGTAGTGGGAAGTACCTAAGTGTGTTACTTATTCATGAAACGTTGGAAACCACACGTGGGGTTACATGTACTAGTAGCTTCAAAGACAGACGCAGAACTAAACTTTGTTTCCTTACCGCCCCCCTCCCCTATTATTTCCTACCATATCTACGTGTAGGCGGACGAACAAGCTGCCCTGAAGAAGAAGCGTACCTTCAGGAAGTACACCTACCGAGGTGTGGACCTGGACCAGCTTCTGGACATGTCCAGGTAGGTACTGTAGTACAAGACTGAAGAAGCCAGGTCTTGATCGAAGAAAATTATGTTGTCATATGTAGTGATGCATACCTAAACCCAATTTTAGGTTCAGGTCCGGATTGAAGTCCAGAGGTTTAGGTTCAGTTCCGGACTTGTAAGTCTGGACCTAACCCATGGCATATACAAAATTGCATATGTTGGCAACCTTGCAATGTTGTCTGGGTGAAACTTTGGCCACATAACATGGAGGCCGGTACTTGACGATGCCCGATGGCAATGTTTTCTTCATTTTGCAGCAAAGATTTTGCAATCTACGGAAGGTTTTAGGTGGTTTGGAAAGAAAAGGGGTATGTGAAAGGGTCTTTAATGGTAATAAGTCCGGACTCGGTTCTTGACTTTTAGGTTTTTTTTGGACTTGAACCTAAACATTCTTACAAGTCCGGATCCAAGTCCAGTGAACCGGTATGCATCACTAGTCATATGATATACTACATCCCGGAATAAATACGTAGTTGCCATGTGTTCATATACTTTATTTCAGCTATGCTAAGGGACATACAAACAACCATAAAGAGAGACATCCTTCTTTGATTCAAATATGTCAAATAAAACATTTCACTTCTGGTGTGTACATGTACGTGTCTTAACAGTTTTCATAATATTAAAAAGAAATTTATGCATGATGTGATGCTGTCATGTTTAGGTCTAGCTTTGGCTGTCAGTGTTCAAAATACCTGTCTGTAATATAGATTTTCAAGATTGCAGAAGAAAAATTTATACAATCTGCAATTTTGCAGAAGGAAAAATAGGCCTGGCGTCAGAATCCAGATTTCAATTTGGTTTTCAATTTAGCAATCTAGAACTCCTGTTCTGAAATAACAGACATCAACAAATGAGGTCATTGGCCAGGTTAGAGGTCAGTGTTTGGAATGGAAGAAGAGGAAATTTAGCTTAAACAATGTTTTCCTTGGTAAACATAAAAAAATGTTTTGTTTTCCCTGTCCTGTCACACCTCAGTGAGCAGCTGATGGAGATGATGAAGGCGCGCCCCCGCCGGCGGTTCTCCCGCGGCCTGAAGAGGAAACATCTCGCTCTCATCAAGAAGCTGCGCAAGGCCAAGAAGGAGTGCCCCGCCCTGGAGAAACCCGAGGTGGTGAAGACGCACCTGAGGAACACTGTCATCGTTCCCGAGATGATCGGCAGCATCGTGGCCGTCTACAACGGCAAGACCTTCAACCAGGTGGAAGTTAAGGTGAGAGAAAGATAAAAGTACTGTAATTCCAGATTTTTTCCACTGTACTTTTGTGTCCACTATTTTCACGGTCACTTCTGTACCATGAACTTATCATTACAGCTAACAAATAATGTCTTTCACCCTTTCACAAGTTCCGTGAGACGGTGAGCACCTCCATTTTTCTCAGACCGTGAAATTTGTTTCTGTGAACACAAAATGAATTAAAGTATTTCGTTGAATTAGAAAAAAGGAAGTTTTCAGGACAGAAAGTCCTGCCAAGGAAGTGAAGATTGGGATTAAGTTATGGTGTTGAAAGTGGCATGCTCCCCCAGGTAAATTTTAGAGTCTTCGCCCTCTGAAACACTATTTCCTGCATTTTGAGGTGTAAATGTTCCTAGTAAGCGTAGTCTTACGACACCTCTTTCCAGATGCTTACAGGCCAATTTCTGTCCCCCAAATATGACAAATTTTGATACGGTCATGAGCCAAATTTGGAAGACTGGTCCATAGCTATGATGAAAGTGCAGGGGTCCTGAAATCAGCTGGTGTGTGAGCTGAGCCCCCCTGGCGACCCCTGACCCCACAGCTGCATGTGGCGGCACATGGGGCAGGGAGCCAGCTGGGGTGATCCTGCATGGGTCTGAGCAAATCAACTGTGAACACCGAGGCATTTAAACAGCTCTGGAGCAAATCAACACTTAGTTTTAGGCATTTAACAAGTAAAATCTTACTTTTATACCCCCAGGCTTTTTATTGTATATTTTTATATAGGGTTTTAAACAAAGAATTTATCGAGACCGAACACCCCTCTGTGTGAGGGGTCATATACGTGGACCAGACCGAGAATAGCTTAAACACGCCACAGGTCAACGGTCGCGACCACTTTCACGCTCAAAGGGGTGTTTTGGGGCCACCAAGAGGCATCATTTTCACACCCGAAAACACATATACAATAAAAACGTAAGAACGTGCATCATCTGCAGCCCAATAGCAAACCATATACCGAGTCTCAAAAGAATCCGTCCACGCAAACGCGAGAAACAGCTGCGAACATGAAAATCTCAATCTCTTACAAAGCCCTTCTGCGGAAGGATGTCTCCTTCCCCGTAGGCAACAATTACAGCTCAGATGTAAACACCAGTGCTTCAGTTTGGCGGTCAGAAAGGTTACACTGAGAGTGTGTTTTTTTTTGCATTTCAAGTTTTTATGTTAGGCAGCTTAGGCGAAAACTTGATGCAAGGTGTGCAAAAAAACATGCCAGAGTAGAACACTGCTAGCTTCAAACATGAACAACTTTGTTAGGCAGTAGAATGTAGTAAGCCAGAAGACCAGTTCGATTGAGAAATTGTTTGGTATGTGTATAACAGTGTATTGGTATATTCAATAATAATTGCTTGGGTGTCAACATAATATGCTGTCAGTGCAGTTGAATTTGATGCGTGTACATGTTAAACATATAACCCAGTTACTGAGATGTTTGTGTTTTTATTGTTGTTTACAGCCTGAGATGATTGGGCACTACCTGGGGGAGTTCTCCATCACATACAAGCCGGTGAAGCACGGCAGACCTGGTATCGGTGCCACCCACTCCTCACGGTTCATCCCGCTCAAGTAGACACCATGGGGCCATAGCATAGTTACCAACAATAAAAACTGAAAATATCACACACTTGCTACTTCTTCTGTCTTCTCTGGGTTTGTTTTGTTTTGCTGTAAGGCCATGTTGATTTGATTATATGGATGACATCCGCGCGCGAATGAATTTTAGTCCATTTCCAAAAAAAGTTCTCAACCATATTGTAAATCGTACTAAAGAGTTGCAAATTGAGCAAATATATACCGTAACTTGTAAAAAATTTTTGAAAACGATACCAATATCGTAGTAGGCAAAATCAAATGAAAAAGACGAAAATGTAAAGAAATGAATTTGAAGAGTAGATTATTCGCATACCACATTGTGCCATTTGTTCAACCTTAATGACCACGTAGATTTCATAATGAAAGCAACTTTTTTTATTCGCACACTTGCATCAGTTTTGGGGTTCCCAGAGGATGTCATCCATATAATCAAATCAATAACTGATAAACTACCTTAGGCATAACATGTAAACATGCTGAAGGTGTGGCTCTCCTCAAACCACATCACATGTGCACAGGATGTCCCCAACAGAAACTTGTTTTTAAAAGAGCATTATGTACAGGCATTTATGATCATGACTTGCAATGTCGTTCGTCAGCAAACTGATAGGGGGCTCTTCAAAATGGTCATAGTACAGATGGAGGTGTGTAGAAATGTTGTAGAGTGTTGGGTTTGGGTATGTCTGCTTGTACTCTAGTTAGCACATTAACCCTATCTAGACCGGGCTTTTTTGGGCTTGGTGGGACGGGGGGGCTCATTCGGCCCCCCCCTCAGAACTCGAGAACGGTATATCGTAGGACCACCAAATTTTCAGAGGATGATGTACTAGTAAAAATTTATCATACGTACAATTTTTATGTCGTTTTATTGGCCAAAACCGTCTAGATAGGTTATTCCCTGAAAACTAAACAGTATACGACATAACTTTACCAAAAGTGTTTATGACAGAATATTAGGGTGTACTAAGTCTTATGTTGCCCATAGCATAAAATCCTGGGAAAGGACAGTAGGAAACAAGCTGATGCAATGAGACAACGTTTTATTGCTTGTATGAAGCAAATATAAATTCCACAAGTAGAAAGTTACTTTCATACATGGAATAAGTTCCACAGATAAGTGAGACAGGCCAAACCGATATCATTTCTTTAAAGAAAAATATTACACTGGAAGATGAACATTCTCCTTACAATTTAAGGGCCAAGGAAAGAAGTCTTCAAAAACTCTTGGTGTATATGCTAGTATGTAGAGAGCAACTTTTTCTCAGGAGGATGCAACAAAAACAGATAACAAAAAAAGATAACTTGAAAATGATAAAAGTATGAATCTTAAAAATTACATGTATGTCAAAGTTCTGTGCTCGAAACTTAGTGAAAAGAAAATGTCCCTCCTACACTAAAAACTAGAAATGAAACAGTATGTACATGTGGTAGTCTTCTTTGGAAGCTGTAAAATGCATATTGTCTACACTTCATCATTACACTGCAGATGAAATCCAAGCAGCTATTTGTGCCAGAGCAAATATCTTTGGTACCATATACAGTTAACCTCTACAAGAGCAAATATACCACACTACAAGTTAATCCCATTAAAAACCACACCATCTTAATTTTATGGATGACATCCATGCGCGCATTGATTTTTGCCTGTTCTCGAAAAAAAAAAAGGTTCTCCAAGGCTCTGGCCTGGGTACTCCATGGTAGTTAGCGACAATACGGAGTCGGGCACCGAAGCTCAAAGCTACCGAAGCTCAAAGACTCAAGAACCGCAAAAAGCTAGCATGTGCCAGCTTGTCGTATACGTCGCTATATATGTACTGATGCAAATTCACAATACCAGCTTTGTATTCCTGTGGTTAGGCATTTTTATTTTTGGCCAGAATTTGTTTTTATTCGCCCGCGCGCACTAGTTTGGGGGTCTTCAGAGGATGTCATCCATAAAATTAAGTCAGTGTGGCGGCCTAATCATAGTGAAGGGCTGATTGCCCAGACTAAAACCTTTCTACTTCAGCAAGGGTCAGTATCTATCAAAATGTTCTGTAAGCTAAAGGATACTGCTGTAGTACTTATCATAATATCTAAACAAATTCTAACCTATTCTTCATTTGTATAAAGTTTACAAAACTAGTCCTAACCTTATCCATTAAACCTGCAAACCCACCACATACTGGTACCTGGTACATAACACTATCATCATGATAATAAAATGTTATGTAGCATACTTAAGTATAAAAAATTGTAGGCTTATAGCCCTCAATGTTATACAAATCCCACCTTAAATGATGCCTTCATTTAATCAAAGAAAAAGAAAATAAAAGCAATTTTGACACAACTTGTGCCATGAAATACAAATTTGTGACTGAATCACTAAAAGAGGACTAAAAGCAACATATTGTACCATAAGGCCACACCAATTTAATTTGTTGGTTCTCGGATTCTCCTCTTCGTTTTTTTCTGATTTGCAAAAAAAAAAAATTTGATTCTGGTCCTGAATCAACTGAAAAATGCTCATGTTTTGCCCCCAACAGTTGAGGAAAGTCCTTTTCTTCCTAGTTGTTACAGTTTTCCCATTTATCATTGCAGTGATTTGATTAAAAGGGCAAACTTCAATGTTTAAATTTTAACCCAGCCTTTTGTGTTGACTTCATGGCTTATTTTGTAGCATTTAAGCCTATAATAGGATGCCTAGACCTGTTTTTATTTTTATTTTTTTTTCGCCCTGTCGCTTCATATTTTTTCTGAAAAAATCCGAGAACCAACAAATTAAATTGGTGTGGCCTAAGTAGGTAAAAAGGTACGATCATGATCCATGTCATTTATATGCAGTGCCTCAACACGTCTTGTTGGTAATCTGCCCTGGTGTGTCATATATTTGCATATTGAATTTCATGATTTGCATATTTGTGACTCTTCCAGTGACACCACAACACTAGGCTTGTGGGTGGATGCCTTCCATCTCAATGGCGACATTCCCCTGATCTGCCTCGGCCTGGGTTTCATCCTCCTCTCTTAACACATCGTCTGGAGCGGCGCGTGCGGCCCTGTGGAACACACAAAAAGTATGAGACTGTCAATGAGGGTCTGCATGGCTTTTTCCATGAGGTGTAAGAAGTCTTTATTCACCAGAAATCGTAGCATTACCACTTGCACTGCACTACAGAAAGCTGGTGTGTTACGCCAAAGGGTTGTTATACTGACTATACAGGATACAGAAGCTGGTGTGTTACGCCTAGTCTCTACCAGACTAACTACGCTGGCTATAGAGAATAATTGCCAGGAGAGGGAGGCCGCCTTGTAGGTTTGACTGGTCTTGCAGTTCGGAGATAAAGAAACTACCTCTCCGCGGCCGGACTCCCTTGACCAATTTTACTCTCTTTTTTGCCGAATTCTATGATCTGTATTCCCAGAGAAATGCCTGGTGGAGGCTATGTTATGCCGAAGGGCTGTTATACCGGCTATGCAGATTCAGATACAGGAACATCTCCCCCCCTCTCTCTCTCTTTTTCAGTCACCTCTAACTCCACAACACTTCTAGCAGCCCTTCCATTGGCCAGGCCCCTAGCAGCTTAATGTCCAACAACCCTGTATGTCAGGAGAATTCCCTAAATCCTGTAGGTTGATTGATGCATATTATGAGCTAAGGCCACACCAATTTAATTTCTTGGTTAACGGATTTTTCTAGAAAAATAATGGAGTGGGCGGGCGAAATAAAAAATAAAAACAGGCCTAGGCATCCTATCATGGCCCAAAATGGTTACGATAGGAGACATGAAGTCAACACACCAGGCTGGTTCAAAATTTAAACAATGAATTTTGAACTTTTAATGATACCACTGTATTGAAATATGGGATGACTGTAACAAGTAGCAAGAAAAGGACTGTTTTCAACTGTTCAGGACAAAATATGAGCAATTTGCAGTTGATTTTGAATTTTTATTTTTATTTGCAAATCAGAAAAAAATGAAGCGGCGAATCTGTTAACCAAGAAATTAAATTGGTGTGGCCTAACATTGACCAATCAGAGACAGTGTAACACGGCTGACGTACCTGGCAGTGCGGCGGCGCGGGGAGGCCACCGGCTTCTTGCGGGACTTCTGGAAGCGGGAAAGTCCCCTGGAGTCAGTCCGTCTGCGGTATGCCTACAGAACGAATAATTAGACAATACCTCCGATGAGAAACTGGCATAACGTAGGCATTAAGAAGTGTCCCGTTATGTTACTGGAAAGCTAGTCTTTCCCTGACCACGACAAAGCGTAATAAGTAATGTAGAAATTTGATCCCCATGTACCTCTGTGTTGGAATAAAGTTTAAAATCATACAACTAATACTAACACACAGATGAACTAAATGATAGTTGTGAATATTACAAAATGCTGGAATATTATGATAACTGGCAATACATGGAATTGTACATAAGGTTTGAGGCATAAACTAAATAAATTTGTCATCATACCTACAGCATCTACATCATGTATACTTTGTGTAGTACCATAAAACAATAATATTATTATCATTCATTCAGTCCCATTTTTTAGCTAAGTTCTTACGTCATAGTTCTCGTAGATGGCGTCATCCGTTGGTGGCCCATTCTTGGCGGCTGGCATGAGCTGGGAATGTTCCTTGGGACTACTGGGGCTGTCATCTGTAGGAAAAAAGTGCAAGATATGGACTTAAGCATCGAAAACCAATTCACCATAACCACTACTTAACCCACACTGCAACATTGTCCCTACAGCTGCTACAATCTTTACAGTACCTGTAAAAGTGTTGGCCCAATTTTCCCCATGCGGTATGATAGTGTGCTGTACTAAGAGGCATTCAGGAGGCAGGTAGACAGCAAATCCAGGAAAATACACTGTAATTTCTTAGCCTGGGTACCATCCAGATTTTGTTCCGCTATAAAAAATCATTGAAAGTCAATATACATTTATTAATAATTCCCCGACTTTCTTTTTTCTGCATTGGCAGCCATCATAAACATATAGTTTTATTTTATCTTATTTTATGAAGATTTACCACATTTGTGGAAGGATTGACCTAACAGGTGACTATCACCTCTTCAAGATGCCAAACCTGAGACCTGATTGTATGTAAGGTTTGAACCACTCACACCAGGAAGGTCCCCTACTCTTTTTGATAAGTGCGGTGGGTTCTTAAACGTTCTGTGCCTACTTCCATTTTTCTCAGACCGTGAACTTTTGCTACTGTGAACATCATAAGTGAATTACAGTTATGTATCCAAACACTAGCAGCAAGGTAGGATTCTTTCAGGTATGATCAAGACATCATGTCAGGTAGCTTCTGAAAATCACTGGCACAACTTGGGTAAATGGCTATGCTGTGGATTGTGTAGTATATATAGAATACAACACGGTGTATTCCGTATCGCCCGAGGTACCAGCCCGACCGCGCGTCAGATCGCCCGACGGTCGAATATTTATCATACCCACCCAAGAAAACGTGCCTTTCAATGCGAAATGAGCGAAAATTTGGTGTCCCTAAACCCAAAAAAATACGACAACATCAATTCCAACGTCCGAATTTTGTATTCGAATTTCGAAATCGGTGCATGCGGTTAGGCCGAATGCGTTCGAATCGTTCCACGGAACATTTGGAAGGCCCGGGCCGTACGCGGTAAGAACCCCCGGGCCGTACCGCTAGTTATCACACGGGCCGGAACACCCGTATCGAACGTAATCGCGGCCCAGGTAGGACATAAATAGCTGTACAATAGTAGGAGCTCCATGTAACCTTTATACTTGTTCAGGTGATGTTTTAGACATTGTATGATCAGCTGGAGACATACATTTATCAGGGAGGGACATTTGGTAGCAAGTTTTGATGGTCAAAACAAAGGGTTCCTATCCACATCTATCAACTTGTTTGTTTGTTTGTTTGTTTTTTTATAACACAAAATAAACATACAACAAACAAATTCAAAACACTACAATAAAACTAACAGTAATAAAATGTAAAAAAAGAAATTATATATGTACTATGAAATAAGACAAAATGCTGCTCCTAAAAAAGCTATATACTGAGCACATTTAACTTTTTTGTGGCTAGAGTAGAAGCGACTCAAAGAGCAAAACAGCTTTTAAAGAAGAAAGCTTAGCCTTTATACAACATGTTATAAGGCCACACCAATTTAATTTCTTGGTTAACGGATATTTCTAGAAAAATAATGGAGCGGGCGGGCGAAAAAAAATAAAAATAAAAACAGGCCTAGGCATCCTATTGATATGGCCCAAAATGGTACGATTGGAACCATGAAGTCAACACACCAGGCTGATTCAAAATTTAAACCATGAATTTTGACCTTTTAATGATACCACTGCATTAAAAAGATGGAATAACTGTAACAACTAGGAAGAAAAGGACTGTTTTCAACTGTTAAGGGCAAAATATGAGCATTTTGCAGTTGATTCTGAATTTTTATTTTTATTTGCAAATCAGAAAAAAATGAAGCGGGCGAATCCGTTAACCAATGCAAGAAATTAAATTGGTGTGGCCTAATCTACAAACGATCACCAACTTGCTTGTATCACTGAGTACATGTATTTATGTTTAAACGAAGTTATACATTCATTCAGTATCAGACTGAACAGTGTTATTACCATCATCATCACCGTATTATTATAAGTAATATAACAGCCCCAGTTTCCTTTCAACACTCACCTTTGTTGTTGTTTGAGGGACTTGGCGGGGGTTGTGCAAAATAGTTGGGGAAAATCAAATGCCCAAGGACTGTTAGCATCAACATCAAACTTTAACCCTTCATGTACAATTAGGTGTCTCCTTGTTACCCATCCACCAATTACTGAAATTGGCAGTAACCTTCGACCAATGGATGAAGATTGGAGTTAATTACATTGACCTTTGACCATTAAGTTTTCATTCACAGTGACCTTTGACCAAAAAATTGTAGTTACAGTGACCTTTGACCAAAAAAATTGTAGTTAGTGACCTAAGACCAAAAAATGGTAGTTACAGTCACCTTTGACCAAAAAGTTTGGAGTTAGTGAGCTTTGACCAAAAAGTCTAGAGTTCCCAGAGTTTTGAGATATACCATACAATGTATTTCCTCCAATTGCATACTAATACTACTATGCACTATAAGCTTTTCAAATCAGAAGCAGGTGCTCTAGCTTGAAGCCAAAAAGGCCAAACCAACAGCACAGTGCACAGGCAGCCAACAGCACAGTGTAAAATATGGTACTACATGTACATTATGCACTCAAACTCAAAACTTAATGTTTATTTCGAGAGAAGTTCTGTTGTTCATGTCAACTTCTTGCATCTAGGCGGGAGGTTGAAGCGAAGGTAAGTGCTGTGTACCTAAACCCACATTGTACAAAATGTAGGTTCAGGTCTGGATTCAAGTCTAGAGGTTTAGGTTCAGCAAGGAGGTTTCATCACGAAAGCTCCTTGGGTTCAGTAAAGGACTTGTAAGTCGAGACCTTACCCCATGGCATATACAAAATTGCATGTTGGCAACCTTGCAATGCTGTATTGGCAAAACTGTGGCCATTTATCATGGATGCCAACACTTGACGATGCCCAATGGCAAAGTTTTCTTCAATTCGCAGCACAGATTTTCCAATCTATGGAAGGGTTTGGATGGTTTTGAAAAAAAGGGGTATGTGACTTTTTGTTTGTTTGTAATAAGTCCGGACTCGGTTCTTGACTTTTAGGTTTTTTTGGACTTGAACCTAAACATTTTTACAAGTCCGGAACCAGTCCAGTGAACCAGTACACATCACTAGTTGAAGGTGAATGTTTCAGCTCCCTTTGTCAGATTTGTGATCAGCCCCAAATCAGGTGCACACGTTAATGTGAATGCGTAGTACACATCTGGAGGAAGTACCGTAACATATTGTAACCCACAACCTTTGCTTGTAATATGTGTTAGTTCCGTGAATAGTTTCATCAGGTTGGTAAGACACTGAGTAAAGACACTCTTTTTACACAACAAAGTCTTTTACTCAGCCGACGTCTCGGTGACCGTCTGTCACCTTCCTCAGGGCAATTCTGTCTGGTTCACATTGCATGGATACATTTCCCTGTAATCCAATCACGCATATGTGTAGATATGTAAATATTGTACATTTGGGAATGCATCTGTAGCAGCTGCAGTGCAATATGAACCAGTCAGAATTGCCCTGAGGAAGGTGACAGACGGTCACTGAAACGTCCGCTGAAAAAAAGACTTGGTTGTGTAAAAAGAGTCTCTTTACTCAATATGTGTAAGTTTTCTGAAGGTGCTGTTGCATCTACTACCAAGCGCCGTGTTAGTCTGGAGTTAGTTCGGTGAAGCAGAGGCAGCAATAACAGCTACGTGAAGTCACACAGAGTAGCGGCAGGCCCTCGCTCGTTCAAACATCGTTAGGACTTTAACCACCCTACCGGGGCTGGGTTCTCTTATATCGACTGTACCCGTGGTTAGCTCGCCCTCCACGGTGTAGTACTCGTCAGGGTCCGACTCCACGCCGAAGAACGTTCCCGTCAGGTCGGGGAAACGCAGGTCGACGAACAGGATGATGGCGCCCAGAATCACGGTGATCAAACCTTTGGAGGAGCAAAAGTGCCGACTTAAAAATGTGTTGAGACTTGCAGTATCTATTAAACAATGTATTGTAGTTTATTGTTAATAATCTATTTAAAAATACCACACAACAGAAAAGACTAAACATAATTTTTGACACCCCCACTAAAAGTGGTACTGTTCCAATGCCATGTGGTCACCGCAGACGATCTGTTTTTCTGTCCACACCATCTCGTTTCACGTATGCCAAAAAAACAGTTACTCAAGCAACTGGATATGATTGAAAACGTCAGATGTTTCACGTAATATAGAATGTGACTTTTTTTCGGCAATGGACGGTGAAGTATCTCAGATCCATGTAGAAGAGATATCGCAAGGCTATATGATAATAATGTTAATTCCCCACCTTATCCTCGGTGTATATGATGATATAATCCCTGGTCAGGTGTGATAACCACCTTATAAACCACCTCGTTCTCTATGCTCACTCTGTGGTTTATTCGGTGGTTATTGCACCTCACCAGGTATTATATACACCTTGGGTCAGGGCATAACCCTTTATTACTCACCCACAGCCAGGGTTATCCAGAAGCACCAGCCGTAGTGAAACCTCATGACCGTCGTCCCGATGGGGATGGCCAGCTCCGGCCCCCACCGCAGCGAGGCAAACAGGATGTTGCCTAGCAACATGACCCCGCCCGTCAGCATCATGAAGTAGGCTCCGTACCGGATAAACATGCAGAACAGGATGTTGGTGAGGATCCACAGGGGGAAGGCAGTCCTGTAAAAAAGCAGAAAATGGTTGAAGAGGTTCATCAGTCATGTAGAATTAACAGTCAGTAGAAAATTCTTCAATCAGTGACTGTATTTTGTAAGGCCATGTTGATTTGATTATATGGATGACATCCTCCGGGAGCCCCAAAACTGATGCGCGCATGCGAATAAAAAAAAAGTTTTGCACACAAAAAAAAGTTGTTTTCATTATGAAATCTACGTGGTCATGAGGGTTGAACAAATGGGACAGAATATGGTTTGGCGAATAATCTAATCTTCAAGTTCATTTCCTAACAATTTCGTCTTTTTTCTTTTGATTTTGGCATTCTACGACATTGGTATAGTTTTTACTTATTTTTTGTAACTAACTTACGGTATATTTTTGCTCATTTTGCAACTGTTTTGTACGATTTACAGTATGGTTGAAAACTTTTTTTTTTTTGGAAACGGCCGAAAATTCATGCGCGCGCGGATGTCATCCATATAATCAAATCAACATGGCCTAAGGTAAAATCCTGTACCTCCAAATTATCGGTGTCGACTTTACACCTTGATCATGGAGCGACCTAGTCTTGTGAGAACGCGAAGGTTGGGAGCTGCCCAAGTCCTATTTACCCCGTAACTCCGCAAGGAGGCGGGGGAGGCCAGAAGATCCACACAAGTCTCGACCTAACTAAGTCTTGTGTTCTTGCAAGACTAGGTCACTCCGTGATCAAGGTGTACAGTCGACACCGAAAATTTGGAGGTACATGATTTTACCTTTACAAAATACAGTCACTGATTGTCTACTAACTGGTCAAAGCTGTACTTATAGTCTAGTCATCATCGTTGATGTTCTGTACCATCTAGGCTCTGAATCAACCCCCAAATGTTACATGTCAATGAGAGAAAAGCTACCATTTATAACTTTCTAAGTGGTAACTGCGGGAAATTTGTCATACCACAGTTGGAAGTTAAACATAACTTATTCAAGTTAAGAGTTAAAACTTTCAATCCAACACAAGAAGTTCTCTCACCTATATAGAGCTTTCGACCAGTCACTCTGGTGGATCTAATTAAAAGTTTTAACTCTAAACATGTAGCTACCAACACAGATGAACTTTCATGATAGTAACTTATTCAAATCAGGGCCTCATTTGCATAATTTATGAGGAATTGCTGGAATAGACTTTTTTGTTAAAATAAGACAGTAGAGAATGGTAGAGAATATGCATAATCATTGAGAAACATTTGGAATTTGACAGTCATAAAAAATAACATCATCTGGCGAAGGTATAAAGTTGTGGAACTCTATTATATAATTATAGTAGATTAAAATTCAAAATTCATTGTTTGAATTAAATATCCGCCTAGTACACAGCCTGTGGGATGTCACAGGATGCCTGGGTATGATTTTTATTTCGCCCACCCTCTTCAATGATTTCCTGAAAAAAAACAATCCGAGAGCCCATGAATCAAATGGGTATGGCCTTACAAGGCTCGAAATACTGGGTGCATGTGCACCTTAGTGCACCCAAACTTGGAGCTGTGCACCCAAATTTTTTTCTGTGGGTGCACCGGTGCACTCAAATATTTTTGTAGGTATTTTTTGTACATATCAAATGTATAATAGTATGCAGGATATTGTTGGCATCTAACATCTGTGTCCATACATTGTAATATCACCAGGGTCCATAATATCGCCACCCTGAGAAACAGTGTGCTTAAAGATATTTTTACTGCAACATATTTTTGGTATGCACTCCTACACACCTCAAATGTACATACCTAGGGTATACCTAGGGTAGGATATCTTTAAGCACACTATATGTCTCAAGGTGGCGATATTATGGACCCTGGTGATATTATGGACACAGATGTTAAGTGTCAGAAAAAAATAAAATCTTTGTTGAAGTACTGTAAGATTTTGAAGGTAGCTCCCATTTCAGATTCAAGCTCAGAAGACTGCTGGAGCTGTAAGATCTGTAATTAGGTTTTGTTTTATATGGTGCACCCAAAAAATTTTCTGTGCACCTGATTTTTTAGGTTGGGTGCACCAGTGCACCTATTCCCAAAAATGAATTTCGAGCCCTGGCCATAGTAAACCCTACCACAGCATGATGTGGGTGTAAAACCCTGACAGCCGGTAGCTGCGTCCCCAGCGGATGTTCTCCCCGTCCAGAGTGAAGTACTCTGCGATCCACAGGATGGGGTACGGCAGGCCCTTAAACTGAGCCTCGCGGAACTCCCGGTTCACCAGTCCAGCTGCAGGAGGGAACATCAGGGTGGTTTAGAAACTTTGAGAATACTGCTACTGCTACATGCAGTACTGAACAAGACTTGTTGGCAGCAACATCCTACTAAGGAAGAGCTCTACGGTAACATCCCAGCAGTGTCAGAGCTCATGAGACAGCGGAGGACAAGATTTGCAGGACAGAAGCAAAAACGTAAGCTAGCTAGCAAACTGGTCCTGTGGGAACCTAAACAAGGACATGCTAAACCTGGGCGTCCTTGTATGACGTACACAGACCAGCTGGCTTGTGATGTAGGGCTACCTAAGGAGTACCTGGCAGTCACCATGACGGATAAAGCAGATTGGAGGAAGAGGGTCTGGGACCAGGTACCCCCGACTTGATGAGAAGAATTCAACTTTATGTATTAAAACAGAAAGCAGACCAGCTCAGATACAATGTACTGCTTCTTCAACAGGGGGGAGAACAGGATTAATTTTGAGAACTCTACACAAATTTAATATTACAAAACACGTAAATTGTGTGACAGGCTCAAAAAAGTTCTTAACTGGAACTAACAAAAACTATGCGCCTCCAGATGTCTTACTGTCAGGGATGACTGCGTGTGCGCAATTTTAGGAATCAACAGACTGAGTATACAACAAAGAAATCATTTAAAGTCCTTGAATAAGTCTATATTTTACACATACATGGTACAAAATATATTAATACTCATAAGAGTGAGGGCTGGTATATGGTTTGTGACCATTTGTTTTGGTCATTTCTAATTTTTCTTCAGTATGTTAAAGAGTCTCTTGAAGAAAGCCAGAGTTGGGGGTGTGCGTGTGTCTGGTGGTAGACTGTTCCAGACAATGGGTCTACATCAGCCTATGGATCTTCAGAAACTCTCGCTGATTGTGTATAATTGACGATCCTTACCAAATGGTCCGAAGAAGTTGCGTCCCTGTGTCCACTGCCGCTCCCCTCCCCACCAGAACCGTTCGTTGTAGTCGATCCTCTCACTGTTCAGGTGTGGGCCTGAACCTGAAGGAACAAGAAATAGTCATGCCTTCAAGTAACAGAGTTATCAACCAAGGATCTAGCCTGACTAAATCGCATTATGGTGGCCAGAACTTGCAAACTCGCATTGAAAATGGACTAAGGACCTTATGAACCTTCTTTGTACAAAGAAATGGAAGTAGCGATAAACTTTTAAGGAAAATAACCTGTTTATACCTAATCTAATGATGTGGTCCGCCATCTTGGATTTTGGGCAATGATGTCATCAAATTAGCATAAATTATGCATTTTTAATGATGAAATTTACATAAAGTTACATGAGATATTATTTATATTAAAAACCATGTGTAACTTGACAAAAAAAAACATAAAATTCTATTGTTGAAAGGAAAATTACTAATTTAAAAAAAATTTAGCAAAAAATGTCCGTCAGAAATCCGTTGCCATGGCAACACCAAAAACCATTACCTTACTTTACTGATACAAAATTGTTGCCAACAATATCTTAGTAAAAGTCACCAAGTTCGGTGGTTCTATATAGTGTGAGCCCTTCAGACGCTATCCGACATCAAAGTTGGCGCGGGCACTTTTAGTGAGTCGAGTTTGTCTAACCGTTGATGTTTCTGACTTAAGGTGATTAGGGAATTTTCTGTTTCAAAAACCAAAAATTATGTACAGTGCATAGAAGTGGTGTGCTGGCCCTGTACGGAACAAATAAAAAAAAAAAGAACTGCCCTGTACCTTTCAGAGTGATGTTGGCGGCTCTCAGTCCGATCTTGACGCCGATGGTGGCGTGGATTTCCTCGTTGTGGAAGGCCTTGTACTGTACGCCGGTCTCCACCTCTGACACCTCCCACTCCATACCAAAATTACCCACTGGGAAATGACAAAACAAAAATGACTTCCTAAGTCTTTTGCACAAGTTTATTGCACAAGCATAGCATGTATATACATGAAGAAATACAAACCTTGAAGATTCTCTCACTCACTCACTTACTCACTCACATGTACTCTCATCCTCCCTCCCTGCCTCCCTCCCTCCCTCACTCATGCTCACTCACTCTATCACTTGCTCACTCACGCACTCACTCACTCACTCACTCATTCAATTACTCCATTCACCTTGACAATTTACATACTAGTACTAGTATTGCTACAGGGGCCTTTCCCACTGGCCTATTGGCAAGCTTGCTCCAGGAACATGAAGTCTTAATTATTGCAAAGCTCAGACAGCCTTGGAAGCAGAGAGACAGAAAAAACACAATGAATTTTAGTTTCTTGTTGCCTTTGCATGAACATTTTTGTTAGTTGGCAATTGCTTTTTTTCTCTGGTTTGCTTACTTATACTTGACACTGTATTATTTTTGTTCTGCAATAAAATTCTTCTTCTGTATCACATTCACACTCCACAAGATGACATCTTTGACTTTGTCTCCCACAAAGTACTTACACATGATGACTGCCAGGACAAAGATACTGAAGAACACCTTCAGAGCAAAGTAAAGTCGCTGAAAAAGAAAGAAAAAAAGAAAACAGTATTAATGGATTTCTATTCTAATTAAATGCAAGGGATATACAGTCAAACCTGTACTAGCGGTCACCTTTGTATAGTGGTCACTCGGCCATAGCGGTCAGTTTTTGCCGGTCCCTTGAATTTTTCCCATTGACGTAAGCATTAAGAATCGTGTCTATAGCGGTCACTGTTCAACGCGGTCAGCGGTCACCCCATTCCGGTCCCGCCGGCATGTCAACACCGCCGATAGCGGTCGCGGCTGGCCGTAACCCGCTAAGCACCACGGCCGTAACACCACCCCACCTCGGGCTACGACCGTTATGAGCCTTGTGATAATTTTCCGATCGCTACATTACTAAAATGTGAACTGAAAATTAAACTCCATATGTGTACGAAATAAAGGAAAACTGGCTTTTGACACGAAGTTTCTGCGGTCGCGGGTGTCTTTGATATCTGCGTTTTCCCCAACACCAGTGCCGTGCGTGCCGCATGGAGCTTTCAATGGACTCGGCCGCTCGGCGAAGATTACGGCAATTATCTTTACAAAAAAACTTAAGAATATCCATATTTGGTTTCTCGATTCCTTGAAATGCGTAGATATGTGCATAGCTTCCGTTTTTCATGAGCATAATTCAAGAAATTTGGCTCGAAAATGCGTTTCGTATTTTTCCAAGATGGCGCATGTTATCTGCAGAGGGAGGTCAATTGGGGTCATCGGAAGACTACACTGTTATGGAGGTAGATACACCGAGTTTTATTTAACTTTATTAGCGTCAAATGATGTAATTACATTATAAAAACATTTGAAATACATTACTAAAAGTAATTTTAGATGTAAATTTAACACTGTAGTGGATATTTTAGAAAAGATATAAGTCTGAAAGGAGAAAATTTTCTGTTGACTACCACATTGGCATAATGGTAGAGGCAGACAACCCACGCGGGGAGAAACCCAAACCGTAAACAAAGGAGAGTTTTCGCTAAGTTTTCATGTTCAAAAACGACCAAAAACGGAAAGTAACTGGCAACTGACGAACAATTATTTTGCTGTTAACTAAATAGACAGTATCTTGGTACAAAATAACTTATTTACGTGGTTGGAATTCGCTGTGGCGTATGTCGGTCGCCCGAAGCAAGTGTTCACCAAAGAGCAAAAACATGGCGATGTCGTTCTCTTCCACTTTTCGACTAACAACAACAACAACTACTAGTAACGTGGCGATTGCGGAGAAACGATGGCGAAAGCGGAAAGACAGACGCCGAACTTATTCCAAAAGGTGGAAGTGATCCGACTGGCAGAGTGAGCTTGAAGAAATCGTCGAAAGCTGAGCTTAGATTAAATGATTTTGCAGTCGATAGAAATTTGTTTGGAGTTGAAAGTTTGTTGCTTGATTTGCTTTCTTTTCTTTAGCCACATGTAGTACTAGTATGTACACAAGAACAGTAAATGACAACCAGTGATTTTGTATGTTTTAAATTATGTGAATGGTTTCATTGTCCCAGAATAGATGAACTGAATATGTTGAGTGTATGTATCTTTGATGTCAAGTTAATGTTTCCATGCAATATTTCTGTATTTATTATTTTTTTCAAGCAAGTACAAAATAAAGTACAACTAAAGCAAAAGAACAACAAATTATTGAACTAAGACATGTACATATAAAAGGGGTGTACCTTTGCAAATGTATGTATTCATATGTTTCAGAATAAAGACATCACTGTTGGTTGGTACTCAAAGCATGTGTCCCTTTTTTTTGGAGGGGGGTCAACTAACCGGCTGTTTCTCTATAGTGGTCACCTGGCCATAGTGGTCAAATTTGGCCAGTCCCTTGAGTGACCACTATAGGCAGGTTTGACTGTAGGAAAAAACAAGTACTATTATGAGGAATATCAACTTACCGCTCACTTTTTAAAACATTTTGTGGTATTTCATGGTAAATTGATACTTCCCAGTTTAAATCTTTTTTCTGTAACATATGGGCATGATTGTAGTTCATCCCCAGATCACTAGGTGGTGCTCTTTCCCTGAGACACCTGTTGATTAATTGCTATCATAATATGGTAGCAAATCAACACTCACTTCATCTTGTAATTTTGATTACAACTGCTTTTGCTTGATTCAAATTGTAAGCTTAATGATAATGGTATTACTAAAGTTAATAATATTTTTGCAAACCTTTTGCCAATAATTTCCTTGAAAAAATTAAAATACTACAAGTACTGGTAGATCTAAGTATGTAAGATGTTGGGATATACAAATGTATACATTGTACAGCAAAATGAATTTCAGAATTGACTATCCCAAATAACTGCTTTATTCTCTCCCTGTGGGCCTGATCATGTTTCATTGCTATACCAGGGCTCGAAATTAATTTTTGGGAATAGGTGCACTGGCACACCCAACTTAAAAAATTGGGTGCACAAAAAAAAAATTGGGGTGTACCATATGAAAAAAAAGTATTATGTCAACAAAAACTTTGTTTCATTTCTAAAGAAAGGTAGTACAAGAATCATGAATGATTTTATTATTTTCTGACACTTAGATGTTAAAAGTACATGTATGCTGCATGTATCGTGTATACAACTAATACATAAACCTACAAAAATTTTTGGTGCACTGGTGCACCCACTGGAAAAAAATTAGGTGCACAACTCCAAATTTGGGTCCACTAATGTGCACATGCACTCAGTATTTCGAGCCCTGCTATATCCAGTCCCATTGTGAACTTATGTACAATAAAGCCACACCAATTTATTCAATCGGTTGTTAGATTCTTTTTTTTTTCCCTGCCGCTTCAATTTTTTCCTTAAAAAATTTTAAAAAAACAACAACAAATGAAATTGATGTGTCTAAATAACAGACACAAAAAAAACATGTCACCTAATGTACAGTGACTCAGGTATGCAGACCTGTCAGAAGCCCTGTCCTGAGCTATTCATCAAAAATAAACGTGCCCTCTCATGTTGACAGCATAATCAACCACCTGTAGCTAACATTGCCCTTGAGACAGACGTCCTGTTTTCTGATTCTCCAAAAAAATATCCAAACTGAAGTTCGGCAATCAAACGAATCTAAGGCCTGCAAGATTGAGTTGCAACTTGCTACATTTGTAGGTCCATTTCAGATTTGCAGGGTGAACTTACTGTAATTCCTGATTTTTTCACTGTACTGTTATGTTTACTGTTTTCACTGTCACCTCTGTACCGTGAACTTATCATTACAGGTAACAAATAATTCATGAACTATCTTTCTCCTGCACCTGTCGCCACTGTGAATATATAGTTCCATGAACATGTCCATTTTTCTCAGACCGTGAACTTCTGCTACCGTGAACATAAAGTGAATTACTGTAACAGTACTTTTGTACAGACTTGATTGTTGTGTCTGATGTCACAATAGAACAGAACCTGTCCAACGACCAGTGCCATTCTTGCTTTCAGTCATTTACAAAAGAATTGCCGCCACTTAAGGACACGGCGTTAATTGTCTTCAGGGCACGATTGTCTGTCTTTCGAGGCTTCTTAGATTGTTCTAAAGATACCAGGTTGAATGTCCTCAAAAACCATGGGTGGCATTCGTTCAAAGCGGCCATTTACACTTAGGAATTTAAGTAGAATAAGAATAAGACATTCTTGGGATATTCCTAACTATTCGAAAAAAGTGTATTCTAAATATTTAGGCCCATTTTGGTTCTCCCTTGATTGCGATTTACTGCTACAAACTTCACAATAGAGGCAGAATGAGGAAGAATGCCGTCTTGGTCTGAATGAGAATTTCTTTATATTATTGGACGTTCAAAGTGCATACTTTTAGAAATTCTGACTGCATTCCAGATATTTGTGCCTATAGTATGTATTTGTGTGGCCCAAAAGTCATGCTCAGAACTTTCTTCCCACAAAAATGAATTAACTGTAATCTGTAGACCATGGCATTGTAATTACTAAGTATACATTTCATGTGTAGGTAAATTTCAAGGTCACTTTAAGTACATAGTGAGTAACATTGCAACCACTAAAAATTTTAAAAGGTCATTATAATGTGTATGTAAAAAAAAAACCAGAACTGGCGTAAAACATCTGCATGGAGATTAATGTTGGTGATCCTTTAAAAATTATCTTGACTTGTTTTGTTTACATCAGAGTGGGAGGAGCCTGTTGTCCCTGGAATTCACACCTGACTTCCCCGTGATGCGATAATCACTAATACCCTGAAATGTTGCCTAAAAATTTCTATAGACGAGTGCCCCGCGTGACATTCTGCCCTCGGGCGCTTCGTGCTTTAATCTCAACAACACAGCGTGGCTTTGGACACGTAGAGACTGACTGAGACTATGGCATCGAGCCATTTCACAGGCCATGCAAGACAGCTTAAGACTTGTTTTGTTGAACCAGAGATGACTCTTTCACATGATGAATGAGGAAGTGCATGATTGTGGTTCTTGTTCACTCACTATATGTTTACTGTACTTCTGGAATGTGTGACTGTCCCACAATCTTTGCCTACAAAAACATGCTTTGAAATTTGAGACGAAAACATTTCAAAAGGTTGAACAATGACTTCATGATGCATGTGCCACATTGCCACCACACCTGAGTGTACAAAACCTTGTTTGTGTCTTTACCTTGACCTTGTCATATCCTCGTCTGGAGGGTTGGGGACTATAGTGGTGCACCCAACCTAAAAAGTTAGGTGCACAAAATTTTTTGGGGTGCACCATATAAAATAAAATAAGTAGAAGGTCAGCAAAAACTATTTATGTTACATTTGTAAAGAAAAGTACTAAAACAATGATTTTATTATTTTTCTGACACTTACTATAGGTGTAAAGAATATGTTACTAAGGCTACGAAAATATTTGGGTGCACTGGTGCACCCACAGAAAAAAATTGGGTGCACAGCTTTAAATTTGGGTATTTCGAACCCTGACTAAGGTGCACATAGCCTGAGTGTCAGCCTTGTTAGCTTTCGTCCGCTACCCAAGGTCCGCTCCCCGCCAACGGAGAGCCCGTTGGCGGAGAGCGGACCTTGGGTAGCGGACGAAAGCTAACAAGGCTGACACTCAGGCTAAGGTGCACATGCACCGGGTATGTCGAGCCCTGCCTTTGAAGGCAGACAAGCAAATATTATTAACAACATGGAACTGTCAAACTCAATCAGGTTTCACAAGGAAGTCTGTCCACTATTTTCCTCTTTGTTGCAAAACATTTGGTGACATTTTTCAGCTGGCAGACAATCAACTTCCTCATTCTTGTATTAAGTTGTAAGGGAAAAACTTACAGTGTTTCAGGTTTCAGTTCATCGTGGGTGGATGTGGATGACTAATAATATCATGTACCTGCCCAGATAGCCTACTTTCTTCCTTTTACAAAACATGTTCAAAAAAATCTAAGCAGAGGTTGCTAGGGAAGACTGTGACCTTTCTTTTTTTTCTGTCTGGTGGTGAGTAGCGACAGAAAAAAAACGGTCACAGTCTTCCCCACCAACCTCTGCTTTGACAGTATGTGCAATAGCGTGTGTACCATCCAGTACTATACATGTTAACTTATTGAAATCCTCATTTGCATAATTCTAGGAAATTCTAGAATCACCCTCTTTCATAAGATAAGAAAATATGATCTAACTGATAAACATGTAATTCATGTAAATATGATCTTGTTTTCATAATCAATGAAAAACATTGTATAATTTGTCAACATTCGGCAAGGTTAACATCATTTGGCGAAGGTATGAGATCATGGAACTCTAGTTACTTTTACACTCGCTACCACGCACCCACACCACCATGATTTTCATCCTATATAGCTTAATGAACATTCGGCGAAGGTACATTGTGTGAGATTGTGGAACTCTAGTTACTTTTACACTCACTCACTGAGATGATCATTCTGCGAAGGTATGAGATCGTAGAACTCTAGGTAGTTTTACACTCACTCCCACGCCCCCACACCACTATGATTCTCATCCTACCCATTTAACCTGAGATAATGAACTGTTTAAAGTAAGACTCCCAAAAGATGTATGAACTTTGTGACAGGATCTGGCAGGATATGGGTCTATAAACAGTTCTTTCACATCCCTTGGAACAGCATGCAGCAGCTGGTTAACATCTCCCATGGCAGTAGAGCAGTATAGGGGTGTTTTCTGACAGCCTATCTATCTGAACTGATGTTGAACTGATCGTCTGCATTGTAGAATCACCCTCTTTTATAAGGCCATGTTGATTTGATTATATGGATGACATCTTCTGGGTACCCCAAAACTAATGCGCGCGTGCGAATAAATAAAAAAGTTAAAAAAAAAAAAAAAGTTGCTTTCATTATGAAATTTACGTGGTCATGAAGGTTGAAAAAATGACACAGAGTATGGTTTGGTGAATAATCTACAACTCTTTAAATTCATTTCTCTTTACATTTTCGTCTTTTTTGTTTGATTTTGGCATTTTGCGACATTGGTATCATTTGTTCGTGGACCGGTAATTATAAATCCGCAGTACGAAGTGACCGCGAAAACAGCGAATATCAAAGTACCGCAAACATAAAGTGATTTACAGATAATAGAAACCAACATGGTTAAACTTCCCCAAACACAGCCTTCTTCTGGAGAATTTAGGGTAACAAGTGACTGCCAGCCCCTGAAACCAGCTGAACCATGTCACAGGTGTATACACAACTGGAGTAGGTCATCTTGCAGGGATCTCTCCATAAATTCTGAGGGGAGAGGTGCTCCCTATTAAATTGATGAAAAGTCAGCAAATTTTCATGTACTAAATACTAACTAAGAGAAAACCCTAAATTTGAACATTTTGGGAGAGGTTCTAGGATTTTGGGGAGAGGGGGAACACCCTTGCTCCATTGCTTGGGGAGAGCCTTGTCTTGACTTTACAAGGTGGACACTGGTTTGGTTTGTTCCAGAATATATAAGCCAAGTATTTCACTGGCTCTGAAATTTAACCCTTGTCCAGCTGGCATTTTTTACACAGCATTTTCAAATAATTTGAAGTCTTAATCAGGTCACAGACCCTTGAATTTTTTCCCTGCATTGGCGTAGTAACTTCCGCATTCGCTATGTTTCGCTCCAGTGTGATGCATTACACAAGAAACACCCCAAAATTGTACCTATACATGTAGCTATATGGGGTGCTGTATGGTACTGTATGTGGAACCCAATATATCATATATGGGTCCTGCGGGACAAGGGTTTTAATAGTTTAAACTAGAATGAGCATCCTTTTTTATCCTGTGTATTTTTTCTGTCACTTGCACTTGTCACATTTTCAAAGCTCTAAACTATTAACAAGAAATTAGTTACTGCATATAAGGACATGATAATTAACATGTTGACCTGTGAGCGTGACTGATGATGTCTCACAGTGATCATTCACAATGACAGGACAATTTTTCTGTTTGGTTTTTTTGAGGAAGTCCTTCCCCCTTCTGAGAAAATTGGTCTTCGTGGTTCTCCCATGCGTGACTCATAATATGAGTCATATGGGGAAGTGTTGTAAACGTTAACCTCCCCCCCCCTATGTGTTGATACGTAAATGTAGCAGATTTAATATGTTAATTGCTCAGTTGACAACAGTAAGGACGAGAATGGATTATAAGGGGGCCTGCATGCCCTTTTTCGTAAGGCGTAATCTGCGTAACCTGTAGGCAGCCTCCCAAAAAAATCAACATAATTCGTAATAGTACATTAGCCGCAAAGCGTAAAGTCATAATCAGCTCTGAGACTTTAACGTCATTCGTAACTAGCGGCAAAAATTTTGTGTGATTCGTAATCAAGACCCCCCCCCCCATGTAGGCCCTCTTATGAGCAACAACCTTTCATTATTATTATAATTTATATTCTCCAATTGTTAACTTACAACTTATAAATTTACACTTTTGTCATCTAGAAGTGCAATTTCACAAAACTGGTAAAATCACAACGAACAAGAATGCCGGTATATGGATGTCAAATTTGCAATACATTAGGAGTCATAAACAAACAAATAAACAAACAAACAAACAACAAAGAATCCAGCAGGCTGCAAACTCCCTGCAGGATAACTTAAGGAAAGGAATGCCAGGATGCAGATGGCAAGTTGCAACGTCTTACTTCTTAGCAGCCATCAACAAACAAACAAACAAACAGGTAAACAACTAACAGGCAAGTGTCAAATTTTCAACTGGATAGTGAGGAACAATGAAGATAGCGAAGTTGCAACATGTTATTTTTCTTTTTCCAAGGAGGTTTTAGCAGTGTACTTCAGTATTCAACAAACAAACATGTAAACAACAACAAACAGACCTGAATGCCACGAACTCCGGGCAGGATGACGAGGAAGGAGAAGGCGAGGATGCAGATGGCGAAGATGAAGCCGACCTCCAGCACGTCCACCGTCACCGCCGTCTTGTTGGACGCGTACAGCGTCGGACCGCCGTCCACACGGTTGAAGTCAAAGAAACCAGCAGACATCTTGGCAGTTCTCTCTGCATCAAACAAGTTTTACAAAATTTTTTTAAGATCACAAACTCCTTTCTTGTCTAGGAAGAATTATTATAGTAATAATGGAGCAAGAGACCTTTTTTAATGAAAAATGTTTTAACATTTTATACAAGTGCTAGACCTTTTAGCCGAATTGTTATAGGCTTATATAATAGTGTCGGCATGTGGATTGATGCCCGGGTTGGTTGTGGGTTCGAACCTCAGCTCGATCGGGACCAGGGGTTTCTTTCTGTTTCTACTCGCTCCTTCTGTTTCTTAAATAAGGGCGCCCACTCTGCCCAGAAATGTAATGAGTATATAGGGATAGGTGTCACTAACTGCCCAGCTCAATGGGTCCTGGACCTTTTGGCCTAATCGGTTAGTGTGTTGGTTGTGAACTGACACGCTGCGCGAGCAGTGTGGGTTTGATCCCGGGGGTCAGAGTCAACCTTCGAGTTACTCCTTTCTCTTGTGTTACCCTACTTACCTCTCAGAGCTGTATTTTCATCATTCTCATGTTGCTTATTTAGTTCTACAGTTTGTTCTTTGATCATTTAAGGGTTTGGGATACCAGTTTCTGCAAAGAAATTTGAAGAACTTATTTTTCTTGGGACTTCAATGGGTTGATTTTATAAAAATTGAAGTGAAAATGGTTGACAGAATGGACACAGGTTCTGAGCTTTTAAAATTTTTATGTTATTGTACCCAAATATGGGAATCTGAAAATAATAGAGATCTTGTGACTTAATTCATTTGAGAGTTACCCCAGCACCAGACATGTAATTATGATTTTTAACATTGCTAATGCATTTGATTTTGGACCTGTAAAATTACCTGTTAAGGGAGTACTTAGTACTAAGCAGTTAGTAAAAGCTACATTTCTACCTCTTTTACCACAATTTCATATTAAACTGAAATTCAATGCTGAATGTTTCGGACCCCTTAAGGCTTAAGCTTGCAACAATTTGTTCCACATGTTCATGACCACCCGGAAACAAATAAATGACACTCCCGCCCTACAGCATTACCGAATCTCCCCCAATAAGGTTCGCTGGTCGCTGCCACCCTGACAGATTTCTATCCAACTTTTGATCATCAAACTTATAACCTACGAAGTTTTTACCTACTGAATCTTTGCGCTGTGTTTTCTACAAAGGTTTAGCCAATATGGGAGCTAGAACAGACGGTGGTTGATTGTTTAGATCGGTCACAAATGCTATCAAAACATACGATAACTTCTGATCACTCCAAAGTCAGCGCAACAACACAGCACTAGAATCTCTCACGGAAGAGGGAAATTCAAACGTCTGCAAGGTTTCTTACCTTCAAGCAGCGGAGTGAAGAAGTCTGGGACCCTCTCCCTCGGACGAGGAAGTCTTGAAAGAGTCTGGAGACGAAAGTGGAAGGTGTGGCCTGCGACTGACCTCACCAAGCGTCATGCAAATCGCGCCTTGCAGAGTTCTCCGTATATCGGACGGGGCAAGTTTCGGCTGGGAAGCACCGCGCGGAGGGATATCTGATGTCAGACCATTGATCTAAGCCACGCCCCTACACACCGGAGTATCTCACTTCCGGGTTTCAACTTTGCCTGGTGGTAAGCAGTTTGGAGAATGATTACATCACACCTCAAACGACCTAATCTCCAAGCAGATGTTTGGATGGCTGCAAGACAGTATCAAACTGGCCAGGCAGTTTTCAATACGCCACCCGTGGCCGTGAGGCAACCAATGGTTTAACAATACTGGAAGTCAATGTACATATGGGGGGGGGGTCACATATGGACTCCCTAGCCCAAGAGAATATGTGTGGAGATAACCGGTTTAACCAATAACCCCAATCAGGCCCCTGACAGCTAGAGAATGTGTAGTGCAGCGCGAGCTATTATATAAGCGGGTTGGAATGTTACTGGTGACAATGCAGGAACACCTTGGGTACACAGAGGAACCAAGGAGGTTTTGTATTCAACCTCCTTTGAGGAACAAAAACTTCATGCTGTTCCTTTAATAACACTTTTGAAAAGAGTCCGAACAGCAAGTCCTAACAAGTTGAATAAGTTTAACAATTACTGTGGATTTAAACTTTATTATGGGTTCACCACACCACTTCGTGGTGTGGTGAAACCATATTGCTTTTTCTGATGTTTCTTCTCCTCCTCCTTCTCCTCCTCCTCCTCCTGCCATATCTTTAAATGGATTCAGCTTCTTCATTTTAGGGCCTAAGGTCCTGAAATTTGGTATGGAGGTACAGTGGGCAAATACCCATAGGCGTTTTTTAAATTATTGTGATACAGGCTTTTAGAATGGTTTTATTTGAGTTTTTTGGCTGTGTTATAGCAAATGTATTATTGTGTTAGTCTGCCTTGTTTACCACGTTTGGGCATGAGTCATCAGAATGGAATGCAGGGCATCAACCAATAGGCATGCAGCTTTCCTCTATACTTCTTGCTGATTGGCTGTTGGGATTTAACTTGATTAACACCTGCACAGAAGCATTTCCATACTGACAGTATGTCTGTATTCAAGTGTTTTGGTAGGTATTTCAAGCTTTCCTGCTCCAGCATTGGAATGCCGGGCATGGACGTTTTTTTTTTATTTTGAAAATCAACAGTTTGCATTATGCAATTAAAAATCCTAACCAATAAAGTAGGGAATAGCTATCCAACTGTTGTTTTAGTTGTATTTTACTTCATATTATAGTTATATCAATGTAAATCATTGTTTTCCCTTGTGTTTCCCATTCTTTCCCTGCCATGTCGTAAAATGTGGTGAACCCATCGCTGTATTTGCTCCAAAGCAAATATTGGCCTTTCTAGTTCTTTCTGTTTCTACTGGCTCCTCCTGTTTCTTACAGTGGTTCCCACACCGGCCCTGGTAGTTCTGGCAAAGAGTGCCGCTCCAGGGATGTCGAATTCCGAAAATTCGAGGACGAATCTAGATTTTCAAAAGAAAAGGGGGAATAGTGTAACAGTGGGGGTTTACAGGCGCTACCAACAGATCCTGATATTACTTTAAAAGTTTCACAATTACAATGCAACGTAAATTTGATATATTTTATTTACATTGTTTCTAGTAATACTAGTAGTAGTAGAGACATACTCTATATTTCTTCCTGATCATTTTCTTTGCCAGATGACGTGATGCACGTCTTTTATGTTTATACATTGTTGCCCCTCTAATTTTTCTGATGAAATATAAATTACCTTGAAGTGTTCTGTGGTTTAAATAATAGTTGTTTTATTGCAAATTCATGCCCGAGAGCTAATTGCAGGAACAGAAGAAACATTTGGTATAAAAAAACAGACAATTTGTACAACTACTGATATCTACTAAGAAACTACTAGTAAAAACTACTGGAGAAATGAAGTCCTTAAAAGGAAAGGTTTGAAAACTTTTTCCCCGGAACAAGTCGATGTCGAGCATTCTCAGATGGCCCCCCAGCGTCACGTGTTCATTCCTGTGGTCCAGGGCGGGGGGTTTATGGGAAACAATATTAGGTAAACTTCCTCAAAACGCATAGATTTACAAGAACCAGTTACATGTACCTAATGCAACGTTACTAGTATTTCGTCCTGATCATTTCCTAAATTCCTTTGCCAGATGACGTAATGCATGTCTTTTATGTTTATACACGGTTGCTCCCTAATTTTTCTGATGAAATATAAATTACCCTGTTCTGTGGTTTTAAAAAAATGAAGTCCTTAAAAGGAAAGATAAATTACCCTGTTCTGTGGTTTTAAAAAAATGAAGTCCTTAAAAGGAAAGGTTTGAAAACTTTTCCCCGGAACAAGTCGTTGGCGAGCATTCTCAGATGGCCCCTCCGGACGTCACGTGTTCATTTCTGTGGTCCAGGGCGGTGGTTTTGGGAAGCCTTGTTAGGTAAACTTCCGCAAAACGCATAGATTTACAAGAGCCATGCAGTTACATGTACCTAATGCAATACAACGTAAAAAGGAAGTTTGTAAACACTAATACCCGCCACACCGGGCTCTGTAGTTGAAACGCAGGAATGCATATAACCCTGAATGCTTTACTTATCGAAATAATGTGGTCTGACTTGCTCCAAACAGCTATACTTTGCATCCAAAAAATTTACTTGCCAAAAACAGTGCTTTTACTTGCCCTGGGCAAGTGGGCAATAGGACTTGTCCAACCCTGCCTTTATTACATAAGCCGTATCGACCGGTTAGTGAATGTTTAACCCGCCTTTGGCACTGCGTCAGCGGTTAATGGCCCCCGTATTGACTTGAAGTTTGTCCACTAGTCAATGTGTCAGGTTTAATGTGTTTACATTTGTTACGTCTAAAGTCCAAGGGGCTGCCCCCAAAAGAAAGCCGGAACACCGGCCTTCTCAGAAAGCTGCTAGTACGCCCTACCGTCAGTTTTACCCAACTTTATCAGGCCAGGTCTATATCAGGCCAGCAAACGTAGTT